TTGTCCTTAGTAACAAACTCAGTCCAGTCCATCCTCTACCCATTTCTTTGTGCACTCTGGTTTGCCACTGGAGCCACACGGAATTTCATCTCCCACTTCTTGTTTTGAGTATCAGAAATTTGTAGCATGGCATGGCTTGGTTTATTGGTAAGACGAGGGAAATGGTTTTCTGCTGCTTTTATAGGAATAACGAGCTTCTGTGAATCATAGGTAAAGTCTTCTCAAAGAGGAATTTTAGATATCCGACCAGGTAATGCTGGTAATGAGAAGGCTGGGGGAGAGGTTTGTAAAAACGAATCAAATCCATAGCTTTGTGTGCACCACATTGCCATGACCATTCAGTAATAATGAAGTCACCACCCGGCTGTGGAGAGAATGAGCATTTCACATGCTTCTGATCATTGTATTTATCGGTTAATAGTACTCTGATCACCAGCTGAGTTCTTGTATCTGCATCAAGGAAATACTTTTCTACTGTTTCCCAAGGAATGGTGAGTTTTTGGCTTTGAAAATCGGTAAATGATAATTGCACCTCAAAGACAAAATCTTCCTCCTCCTTGTTGTCGACCCTCGTAGATGATTTTCTGCAAAGGACAGAACCAAACTTAATAAGTCTATCTGATCATGGCATATGGTAGTTGACAATATACGTCTTAGAGGAAATACATCAAACATGTTACTGTATTTAACACTATCCTATTGTTATCAACAAAAATTGGAATATGATGAAACATAAATTCACAAAGAAGAACCCTAGATACTCTGTTTGGTTCTTGAGATTAGAAAGAAAGTCAAATTAAGTTGTTCTATAATCTTTTCATCTAGATCTAACCAATTTTAGTTTTTCTTGCTTGCAAACTAAAGACCTATGAATCATACATGTATGTCTCTATAAACATATACAAATATATATACATATATCCGTGAACGAAATAAAATAATCATGAAGTTCATGAAAGAGGAACCAAAACACTATTGTTATAATTAAGCTTCTGTGTTGGGGCTATGTTAGTGGAATCAATGATTCAATATGCAAACATCTACCACACTGATTGAACTCGGAGGATTGGCAAATGGATACAAAAATGATGAAACAGAAAAATCCACAAAGATGGCAACCCTAGGTGCTCTGTTTGGTTCTTCAGATAAAAATAAAAAAGTGAAATTAAGTTGTTATATAAATTTTCCAACATTTTTCAGTTTTTCTTGCTTGCAACCTAAAGGCCCACGAATGAATTTGTATATACGAGTGCCGTTATTCTTCCATGAATGCAGCCCGGAGTAGAAGTAAAGGTTACATAGATGACCATAGTATACATATCCATAGACATAAAAGGATAGATAAATGTATAAATGAATACATTTATAGATAGAAAATATTAAAGATTCTACACATTCATGAAAGAACAAGTTTCTTGGTGAAGGACAAGTACTTACATCTCTTTTGATTTTGGTATAACATTTCTGCTTCTCTGATCACAGCTTTCTAAATCCACATGTTTTCGCTTTGTTGATGGTGGATTAACATCGTCTGCCTTCTTTTCTGCTTCATCATCATATTCTTCTTCGGCGTTGTATTCTTCTTCTTCTTCTTCTTCTTCTTCTTCTTCTTTCTTATCTGCGTTCTTCATTGATTTCCCTTCTTCGTCACTGCTTTCAGACATTTTTCTTGATTGATTCTTTCTTGAATATGGTGGTGGGGTGGGTACTTGGCTGAGTCTCGGAGAGAGAGAGAGAGAGAGAGAGAGGCTTGAATCAATGGAAGAGGTCACTATATATAGTTGACAGGTATGAGTTTGTTGCTTTCTTGGCAGTTACCATCTTGCAGTTACAGTTGGGTACTTGTTTCTTGAGGTGGGAAAACTAATTTCAAACAGATGATAGTACAAGCGGTTCATGCATGACGGCGTTTGACTAGTTTAAAAACACACAATTGAAAAACAGAAAGAGAGAGAAGACACCCATAACGACCGGAGACCCTCTCCATCTCTCGTCGGAGTTCCACCGCCTGTTGCGGCGGGAATCTTTCAAAACTGAAGCAGAAGAATAGGTCTCTTTCTCTCTCTAACCCTAATAATTGATAAACGTGTCAGAATATGTCTTCACTTTATTGTGCTTGTTTGGTTTCCAAGAAAATTATATCTTAAAAGGATTAAGAATTGGATAAGTTGTTATTGCAGTTGAAAATTGAATTTGTTTTGTGCAGCCATCTGATTTTATAATTTTCTTTCTCCTTTTATCAGGGGAAAAAAAAAAAAATTGAACTTTGGGCTGTAGCTTTGAATTGGATATGTTAATTAGCTTAGGTTTTCACACTCATGCATAGATTAGGTAGCTGATTGATTGGGATTATTAAATGTTTCAGATGTTGTATTGTTTGTAGATTACTATCTTGGTATATGCCAATTTCTTTTTCGTCTGCTTTAGCACACTGTTGATCTTGTTGAGGGGCAAACCCGGTAGTTGAATTGTTCGTAGCTTCATAGAAAGTCAGTTTCTTTTTCCTCTGTTTTAGCACACTGTTGAGTTGTTGTCAGGGTAGAAGGAGAAGGGGAGGGGTGGGGTCGTCGGGAGGGAAGGGAAGTGGCGCCGGAGATGGAGAGGGTCTCTGGTGGGTGTCGGTGTCTTCTCTCTCTCTCTTCGTTATGTCATTTAGATTAATTGCAGGAACACTCCAGGGAAATAAACTCCAGAGGATCCGGACACATGAGGTTTATTCCCAAAGAGGCGACATGGGGTTCCACTTCCGGATTTAATCCTAGTATTTCATAGATAAATAATGATCTCCATTCTATTCATGAAATGGAAAGGATCTGAATCTCACTACTAAAAATTCTATTTTTAGCGGCCTTTTAAAAACACCAGCAAAAGTTTAGGCAACATCGACGATCTGGCATGCTTAGGTGCTCTCTGCTTGTTGAGAAAAGAAAAGAAAAGAAAAGAAAAGAAAATTATCAGCAAAGAAGCTTTATACCACTTTAGTTCTCTACAGTTTTCTGTTGTAGTCACAATTTTTTCCTTTGTTTAGTTGGCCGTTTGATCATGTCCACAGATCTTAAATCATTTTATCATAAATTAACTTCGATAAATAAATCCAAAACTTTCAGTTGCTCTTTTTTACCTGCCTCAATTTACATTGCTTGCAAATGAATCCCTACTTAATCAGCACAACGAAACACTTGTTAGCAACTGTAACCCAGTGATCATTTGTTCTCTTGTTATTAGGTAGCACACAGTGAAGAGGCTATGGACATTGAATCGAAAAAAGAAAAAAGAAAAAAGAAGAGGCTATGGACAAAATTTTGGAAGATGGCCCCTATTACGTTGGGGCTAGATTGATTGTTGATAAAAAATGGCAACTTGAACTAAAACTAACAAAGTGTGAATTTTCGAGTGTGCGGTTGTGGGTGAAGTTGTATAATGTTCCTTTGGAGCTTTGGATTGAAGAGAGTTTGGTTTGCATTGCTAGCATCATGGGAACTCCTCTTTATTTGGATGAGCTTATGTTCGAGAGAAGCAAACTTACGTTTGCGATAATATGTATTGAAGTGTCAGTAAATAAAGAGATCCTTGAGTCTTTCAAAATAAATCTTGGTTATGGTGATCCCGTATGAGATTCAAGTTGAGATTCCATGGAAGCCTCAAATGTGTGATGTTTGTAAGACTTTTGGTCATACCACTAGTTTGTGCCCTCAGAAGCCAAAGACTTTGAGCCCTTCATCTTCCAAACAAGAGTGGAGTCAAGGAGATTAAAATACAAATTCCGACTAAATGGGAAGTGGTGAAGAAAAAGGGGAGAGATGGTGGACAAGGTTCAACGACAGTGATAAACAAAAAGAGAGAGACGCAGTCTTCCGCCCTCTCAACATCTAATGCCTTTGATGTTTTTGAATCGTGTAAATGGAGAATTAAATCAAGAGTTGTTGTGCCAAGCGAAGAGTCTAAATAGAGGGAGTCCATCTCCAAGTGACCCCAGTAATGGGGAGATTACAAAGGAGAATAACAGAAGAAAACTCAAAGTCAAACTTCATAACTTGAAAAGTGTTAGAGGGAAATTTTGAATCCTTTTTGTTGTGTATGTTGTGTTTGTCTGCTATAGGCTTAGTTTGTTTCTTTTGAAGGAGTAGTTTGTTTTTGTTTATGTTTGTTCTCTCTACAAAAGATGTGTATTGAGCTTCATTGTATATCTTTCTTTTTTGGTTATAATATGACTTACTTATCCCCCCCCAAAAAAAATAGCACACACCATGTATCTTATAGATCAAACCTACTAACTAATCCTAGACTGAACATTTATTACTTGAAGCAGCATAAATCAAGTAGGTCCATTTCGTATGCACATTTCAAGCACTTGACATTGTTGTCAAATTTGCTCTCCAAAGTGTTCCACTTTCTCATAATTTTCAAGGTTGCCAATGCTATATTCTAAATAACACCTATGAATGAGTTCTTGTTCCAATCTATAAGGACAGGGCAGTACCACCAAACTAAAATATTACTAGTAGCAAGTAATTCAATGATCTCAAAAAAAAAAAAAAAAGTTGCTAACTACAAATCTGAAAAGAAGGGTTTCTGAAGCATGCATCTCAACATTGATTTCGGCAGACTAGGCAGTTTTTTATTTGCTAACTAAGATTCCATTTTGGCAACATATAACAAAGAATTCTCCAATATGTAAAGAAGGACCGTAAAGCATATTACTGTTTATTGATGAACATATGTATGAAATTGAAAATTTACAATCTCAGTGCAGTAATGTATAGGTAAGCTCATATACCCTGTACTTTTCAATGAAACAATTCCTATACAATGATTTTCACAAAAAATGAGCTTAGTATCCAAGTATTAATCCTACTATTATCCACATCACTAATCTGACTACTCAGGCTTGCTCTGAATCATCACATCAACGGTGCTGCAACTTTCAGCCTTGTCCTCAATCAGTTTGACTACAATTCTCTGGATGTATCAGTATTTCCTTGCCAAAGAATCTACAAACCCTAGGTTTGTTCCTTCTTTTTCTTTTCAAATCGAATAGCGTAGTGATTGCCTTTCATAGGCCGCCCAGGTTTGTAAAAACTAATCTCATCGTCCACTTCCAATTTGTGCTTCTCAACAAAACTTTTCCAGGTAATCTTGTAGGCATCAGAATTGGTTCCAGTCTTTGGATACACTAGTAATTTCATATTATAAGTCTCATTTTCAGCATCGGAAATTTCTATCTCCACTTCACTTATTTTAAAGGTATTTAGAGCACGGAAGTGTTCCTCTGCCTCTTTTTTGAGAATATGGAGCTTGTTCTCCGTAATATCAGTAGCCACTAATTTCTTCATAAAGAGAAAATTTAGGCTATCAAGAAGGTAATGCTCATTTTCCGGAAGCAGGTAGAGAGGTTTGTAAAAGCGAATCAAATCCTTGGCATTTAAATTCTGTGCAGCAAAAAACTGTGACCATCCAGTTATCTCGACCATGTGGGCACCAGGCTGTGGAGAGATTAGGAGTTTCATCAAAGGTGACTTCACGTTATATTTACTGAAAAATGTTACATTGATCTCCGATTGACTTCCTGTATCAGCAGCATGGAAATACTTTTCTACAGTTTCCCAAGGAATGGTGAGCGTCTTCTTTTGATAATCGATAGGTGATAATTGCACCTCAAAGAGAAAGTTTTCCTTTTTGAAATCAGCAAAAATACCTTGAGGTTCAGTAGAAGAAGATTGATCAGCCTCATTCTTGTCGTGCCTAGATGAGTGTCTGCAAATGACACAACCAAAAACCTAATTAGTCGATCTGAACATAGCACATGGGAGACACTACACGTCAGAGAAAATACATCAAACAGATTACTGTATCGACTGTTGGACAATCTTCACTGTATTTAAACAGATTTAATTCTGTTGTGTACAAAACAGCAACCAGAATATAAAGAAATAAAGAAAAGGAGAGAATATGTTTGATTACAAAAATCAAACTCGAAATAAAAAAAAATAAATAAATAAAAACAAAACAGATTTTATTTTGTTATGTGGGACAAGCCAATTTACAACCTTAAGGAATTTCCACCAAAACTCCATTTTCATGGAGCACACTTTGGCTTCAATTTCCCATTCACTCGGTAATGGTTTTGAGCAACCAAATATACCACGTGAATCACAACGGGGCATAGAACGCGTTACCACTTTAACCCGAGTTAATCGACACTCGGGGCCCACCTAAAAATAGACCTAACTTAGGAAAAAATTAACCATTTCCAACATCGACAACACTATATTGTCTAATTATCAACCAAAAATGGAAACCAATTGATCTATCAATTGTGAGATATGGCAAGACATGGGTATCATCCAAATGGGTGCAAAAATGATGGAACAGAAAAATCAACAAAGATGGCAACCCTAGGTGTTCTGTTTGGTTCTTGAGATAAACAAGAAAGAAACCGAAACTAATCTGTTCTATAAATATTTATTTCATATACTTGTCACCATTTTTCAGTTTTTCTTGTTTTCAACCTAAAGACATACAGATATATACACGAATGTTCGGTTTATAGGTTTGAGTATCAATTCCGTTCTCTTTTTCTTTCCCTTAATTTTTTTAAATTTTTTTTTTTATTGGAAAGTAAGAAATTTTATAAAGATTGAAAATAAATACATCATACAAGGGGCATTTCCCACTACATAGAAGAACAATGAAACAAACAAGAAGTCTACATTTTATAATCAGCCAGTAAAGAAAAGAAAGGCCTCCATAAATTTATACTCATTCAATGTTGCTGATAAAAAAAAATAAATTTATACTCATTCAATGTTGCTGAAAAAAAAAAAAAAAAAAAATTCTACTCAAATTCAAGATTCAAACAGAAACGAATCAAGAAGTCATTGGAAGAAGACCCCAAAACTTTATTGACACAATTAAGCTTATATGTTGGGGGTAATGTTAAATTAATCAATGAGTTAATATTCAAACATCAACCACACTCATTTGAAGTTTCAATGTGGAGATATTGCCCTGTTATATGTTTAACTAACCTTGGATATGATGATGCTTTCTCATTACAATGGGTTGAAAAATGAAAAACCCAACAATAAAAAACGTTGACAACCATAGATGCTCTGTTTTGTTGTAGAGAAAAAAAGAAGAACTGTGATGCAATTCTATAATCTTCCTGTAACTACGACATCAAGTTTTGTTGTTCTTCTATGAATGCAATCCAGAGTAGAAGTAAAGGTTACAAAAGATAGATACACATTGACGATTCAATACATTGGTGAAGAACAAGTTTTTTGATGAGGGAAAAGTAACTACCTCGGATCTGGTCCTGACTTAACATGGCTCAACTTATTAAGGCTTGCATATTTTTGCTTCTTTGATGGTAGATCATCATTTTCTTCCCCAGAAGACAGCACAACCAATTTGTCAGAGACCTCTGTATCAGCAGCAGCTTCTGTATCTGTTTCTTCTTCTTCTTGTCGTTGTACATCTCCTTCTTCTTGTACTTCTTCTTCAGTATCTGTTTTCTTGTCTTGTTCTTCAGTATCTGAGTTCTTCATTGATTTCCCTTCTTCGTCACTGCTTCCAGACATTTCTTGATTAGTTCTTCAATATGGTGGTGGGTACTTGGCACACAGAGAGAGAGAGAGAGAGAGAGAGAGAGAGAGAGAGAGAGGACTTTAATCAATGGAGGTGGTTACTTATATAGTTGACAGGTATGAGTGGCAGTTACCTCTTGCAGTCACAATGGGTTCTTGTTTCTTGAAATGGCAAAACTAATTTCTAACGGATGGAGGTACATGCACTAGATTTACCTGTATGAATTTAATTTAATTTTTTTTTTTAATTTTCCACCTTTTTAAAAAAAAATTATATTATTTTTAAAAATAGATGGTGACGAGTTGTTAATGAGTGTCTTAAAATCCAAAAATTATTCGGAGACCCATGCCACAAACTAATCACATGTGTTTTTTTTTTCTCAGTTCTAAATTTTTAATTTTTTTTCCTAGTTAACTACAGAAGGGAAAGAAAAAAAAATGCAGAGAGTAAATTTGTATGGTGAAATGGTTTATTTTTCCAAGACTCTTGAGTTTTTTCAGGAGTTGAGAGGGGTTGGAATTTTGGATTTTGATCCTATCTATATAAAATAAAATGGAGATCTTCCCTTCATTTTCACAACATTGCACGACTTCATTGAGGATCACACTGCGAGACAGTGAAATAGAGATCTCAATTCATTCCATGAAATTACAAATTATAATCTATTATATCATCCTATGGATCTGTGCCATCATGAACATATCTCTGCTTACAGATAAATTTATGTAAGAAAATCTTACATTCGACTAAACATATTTTTATTTCTTCCTATATATCATGAATTTACAAAAGAGCTGTTGATTAATCTCAGGCCTATTCTTTGATCACCCCTCGCACTACACTCACACATATCTCAGGCTTGCACTGGTGCTTGTCCTTGATTTCCACCATGACCACCATGTTTCTTGCTGTCATCATCCTCATTGTCATCGTGTTTTTGCTTACCCGATTGATTCACGTCACTCTTAGTCTTCTTTGCTTTTACACATTTGACAACATAGTGGTAAACCTCCCAAGGATACTTAGCTCCGTAGAAGTGAACCACATCCAGGGCTTCCAAATTGTGGGCAGCTGCAAACTCCTGCCACCCCTGTTGAATCAAGTAGTTACTATTCTGTTCTGTGGATTGATTGCCATTGTCATCTGCCAATCTTTGTTTTGACTGTTAGAAATTAGAATCGTTGTTTTATGGGGCCGTCTATGGGAAAGGAAGTGCTGTCCTGCAATTGTCCAAGGGATGGCGAGCCTGCTGCATAGAATGTCCTCTGGATCAACTCTTTTCTCGAAGAGAAATAATTGTGCATTCCACCAGCCAGTGAATCTACGGATTGTGTGTGACCTTTCTTTTCTTCTGGTTGACCAATTAGAAGGTGGAAATGGAAGTGGAAGTGGAGCACCAGGCTCTGGTGATTGCCTGTAATGGAAAGGATACGAATTAAACCATAAGAGATGCTGAAATTGGGGAATGCAAGCAAGAGAATGAGGAAATACATAGAAACAGGACATGGAATGTATACCCAATGTGAATTCGGTGTCAATTTCTATGTTTGGTTTCTGTGTTAGTATGTGAGATATCTTTGTTGGTGTTGATCGAGCATATGCCATGTGGTGTCTCATGGAAATGACCATCGTAGCCTCACAGCCACTTTTTGTGTGTTTAATTGTGAAATCCAAGTTCAACTGACTAATTGATTATTGACTCTGTAATTATATATCATCCTAATCTATGCAAACATGATATAATACAGAGACTCAAGAAGATGGAGATCATTGAGAGAAATCGACTCAGGAGTTTCACAATGAAGCTAGATTTTTTTGGGGGGGGCTGGTCTCGTGGGCAATACAAGCTCTGCGGCAGGTTTGGGGGCAGCGCAGTGTTCGATCTTTTTTCATGAAGTACACAAGTAGTTCAGTAGTCTTTTGGCTTCAAAAATACAGCAACAAAGGAGGTGTTTTTGTTGAGACGTCAAAATGGGAGGCTGGGGTGAAACGTAGCAACATTATCATTTCGCCAGGGGTTGATGTTCAGGGGCGGATGGCAATGACCAAGATCCTTGAACGTGTTATCCATGGAAACTACAAGGTTCAGGATGATGAAAGAGAGATGAGGACTAAAACCAAGGGAGGACATAATAGCAGTAATCAGTTTGTATTCAGAGCTCGCCGAGGAAACACAGAAGGGAATATGAATCTTTCTCAGAAAACAGGGGCAAACAGAGGCGTTTCATATGCTGATGTGCTTAAATCTAAATCAGATAGTTTGGGAAGCAACATTTCTTTTGTGGAGATGGGCAAGGTCGTAGTATGCACTAAAACTGATTTCTTCAATGGGTGGGCCCAGATTGAAAAGAATTAAGTCATTCTTTTAAAACTTATATTGTTCTAAAGCCTTTTCAATTTGGCTAAAAATTTTGAGGAGGCTGATTACTACGGTGCTCAAGGCATGTGTTTCTTTGATAAGAGCATAACAGTAAGGTTGGAAAGCTGGTTAAAGGAGATGCTCAGTTGGGATACTGTTATCGCTTCAAATAGAGGTTGGGTCTCTGTCAATGACTTGCCTTTTAATATTTGGAATGATAGGGTTTTTGAATGGATAGGGTCGAAGTGTGGTGGTTTGATAGAGGTGGATCGAAGAACCAGAACGTTCGAAAATCTCTTTGAGGCAAGGCTGAAAGTCAGAGGCTATGGTAACGGGTTCTTACCTGCGACGATTCATGTTCAGTTCGATGATATTTCGGTGGTCGTTTGACCGAAGGCTCTATCAAAGCCTTTCGGAAGACTGAAATTTCATCGGCCATGGAGATTTTCAGGCGACTTTGGCATCGGAGAAGAGGTAGGTGAGGAGTCACAGGGGACAGGCTAGACACATGACAGAATGAAGATAAGTAGGCAGTTGGGGGATCTGATCGAGGGGGGCGAGAGTAATGGAAGAAGAGTAAGAGGCTATAAGGGCAGTCAGGTTGGGGGCCTTAATTTTAATGAGCCCAGTCAAGGGTTGGGCTCAGCCCAAGATCTGCTAGTATCAAATAAAATTAAGGATGTTGGTGGATTGGAATTAATAGGCCCAAATGATTGTCAAATTTTTAAGGATAAGGGCCCAGGCCTTATGGGGAGCTTATCTGCTGATTTTATTCATGAAGCGAGGGACCAAAATTTAATTGATGGCCCAAGGGTTTCTCTTTCTATACCATCGGAGGTTTCGGGGCTGGACTTCAAAAGAGTTGCAGATTACGACAGTGAGGAGGGTCTTCAAAGACGCTCATCGTTAATGGAGAGAAGTCGATTCTCATCATGCGATGTACCAAACCCAGACGATGGTGTTCCACAATTCGTGTCGCCTATTTGAGGAGTTCTGAATTCTAAGGAAGCTCAATTAGGGTTGGCAAACATGGTTGACAGGTCTGACAAGGATTTTCAGAGATTAAAGGGGATGTTAGAGGAAGGGGTTGATGATTTGTTGGAGGTTATTAGGGACTCCAAAAAGTAGATTCAGGAGGTAGACGAGGGTCATTTTCAAATACATGAGGTTCTGCAAAATCTGGAAGAGTATGGATCTTTTGAGAGTTCGGAGGCAACAGTTGAAGTGGAAAACAGTGAGGATGAACAAGATGACAATGACTGGGATCTCAATAGTTTTTTTAATGCAGTGTGCACTACTGAGGGTGAGGATTTCAGAAGGTTTTCTGATGCAATGAACCAGGTCAATTCGTCTTTTAACCAAGAGTGCACTTTTTCATCTTCTCATTTAGGGGCACAAGATTTTCGAGATTGTTCTTTTGCTGGGGGTGGGGTTTCTTTGCTTCCTCTATCCAATTCTTTTCGTCTGGTTTGTCAAGTCTCATTAGTTGACACTGTTGTACAAGGGGTTACTTCTGAAATTCCGAGGGCCACAGTGAATGAGTCTATCATAGTGTCTGAGTCCTTACATGCTATTATAGCTCAAGGTCAGGTGAATGACAATCAGGGTGGGGTTTTTCGTAATCATTTTGACAAGGGGAGCCAGGTTTTTAGTGAAGGGAAGGAGGAACCAGAGAGATGGCTGAAGGAGTTGAGCAAGTATGAGACCTGCCCGATTGAGGAGAATGAGGTACCGCACTTTTTGCAATTACTTTAGTTCATGGGTTTGTCATTAGTTAAAATTAAGGATATGTTTGGGCCTTTTAGGAGGTGTAATAGGTCTACGAGGGAGAAAGGTGTTAGAAAGGAAGGTGAGAGTAGTAAAAAGGGGGTTAGGGAATTAAGGAACTTAGAAAGTTCTGTTAATTATGAAAAAAGGAGAGGGGTGGTTAGGAGTGGCAATGTTTCTCTATGAAGATAATTAGTTGGAATGTGAGGGGTTTGGGTTCTCAGAAAAAGAGGAGTGTTTTTAAGGATTTTCTTAGGAGTCATCAACCAGACATTGTTGTTTTGCAGGAATCTAAAGTAGAAGTGTGTGATAGGAGGTCATGCAAAGTCTTTGGGTTGTTAGACATAGAAGATGGGTGTGTTTGCCTTCAGTTGATAGATTAGGGGGAGTTTTAATAGTGTGGGATGAGAGAGTTGTTTATGAGTGTGAAACTATAGTGGGGGAGTTTTCATTATCAGTTAGGTTTAGGAATCTGGACAATTCGGAGTGGTGGTTGACTGGGGTTTATGGACCTAATAGGCCTTCTAGGTGCAGGGATTTTTGGGAGGAGCTATATGGTTTATTTGGGTTGTGCTCTCCAAATTGGTGTTTAGGAGGGGACTTTAACGTGGTTAGGAAGGTCTTAGAAAAGCTTAATGGGATTAGAACGTCTAGGGGGATAAGAGACTTTGACTTGTTTATTCGAGGGAGTGAGTTGGTGGATCCTCCTTTGTGTAATGCAAGATTTACATGGTCTAATCTTCAAGAGAATTTGGTGTGTTGCAGATTGGATAGATTTTTATATTCCTTGGGGTGGGAAGGAGTTTTTCCCAATTTAAGACAAGAATCACTATCTAGATTAGTTTCAGATCACTGTCCTATTGTGATTGAAAGTTGTCCATTAAAATGAGGTCCGATGCCTTTTAGATTTGAGAACATGTAGTTGGAGCATATATCTTTTAAATGAAATTTTGAGGAATGGTGGACGAATGCTAGCTATCATGGTTGGGAGGGTTTTAAATTTATGAGAAAGTTGAAGTTGGTAAAGGAGAAGGTGAAGTGCTGGAATAGGGAGGTTTTTGGGAATTTGGAGTCTTCAAAAAAGGAGGTGATGAGCAGAATAGTAAAGTTAGATGCTTTGGAGTTGCAAGGGGCGTCAGCTGAGCCTTTTAGGAGGGAAAGATTGGAGTTGAGATTAAAATTAGAAGAGCTGACTTTTCAGAAACAAGTTTCTTGGGCTCAAAAAGCAAAGATCAAATGGTTGATGGAAGGGGATGTTAATTCAAAATTTTTTCACAAGGTTGCAGATGGGCAAAGAAAGAAGAAGTTCATTAAGAGATTGGAAATAAGCCCAGGGGTAATGGTGGAAAGGGAGAATCAAATTGTCAGCGACATTTACGACTTTTATTCTAAGCTTTATTTGAAGGAAGAGGTGAGTAGACCAGGGATTAAAGGACTGGAGTGGAGAACCATTGATCCGACAATTGCATCATGGCTTGAAAGGCCTTTTGATAAATCAGAAATTCAAGAGGCGGTCTTCGAGGATGTTAATTTAAAATTTTTTCACTGGGTTGCAGATGGGCAAAGAAAGAAGAAGTTCATTAAGAGATTGGAAATAAGCCCAGGGGTAATGGTGGAAAGGGAGAATCAAATTGTCAGCGACATTTACGACTTTTATTCTAAGCTTTATTTGAAGGAAAAGGTGAGTAGACCAGGGATTAAAGGACTGGAGTGGAGAACCATTGATCCGACAATTGCATCATGGCTTGAAAGGCCTTTTGATAAATCGGAAATTCAAGAGGCGGTCTTCGATTGTGAAAAAGATAAAGCTCCAGGTCCAGATGGTTTCTCCATGGCGGTCTTTCATGATTGTTGGGAGGTGGTGAAAGAGGATTTGTTGAAAGTGTTTTTGAAATTTCATGAGTCGGGGGGTGTTAATTTAAGAACAAATGCTACGTTCATCTGTTTGATTCCTAAGAAAGTGAATGATGTTAGAGTGGGTGATTTTAGGCCTATCAGTTTGGTAACGTCGTTGTATAAGATTTTGGGAAAGGTTTTATCAAAACGACTGAGGATGTCTGTAGGGGATACAGTGTCTAGGGCGCAAGGAGCTTTTGTGAAAGGAAGACAAATCTTAGATGTTGCCTTAGTAGCAAATGAAATAGTGGAAGAATATAGGAGTTTAGGAAGGGAAGGTCTTATTGTTAAGATAGATTTTGAGAAGGCCAATGACCATGTGGATTGGCAATTTTTGGATTTTGTATTGGACAAGAAGGGATATGGTGGGCGGTGGAGATCTTGGATTAGGGATTGTTTGTCGACTTGCAATATGTCAATCAAAGTGAACGACAAACCGGGGGAATGCTTTACGGCTTCGCGGGGGCTATGACAAGGGGACCCACTATCTCCTTTTCTTTTTATTTTGGTGGTCGATGTTCTGGGAAGGATGGTTGATAGAGCTAAAGAAGCAGGTCTTTTTGCGGGGTTGGAGATGGGGCGTGATAGAGTTAGTGCGACTCATTTACAATATGCGGATGATACCATATTTTTTTTCCTCAGGGGATGAAAGTCAGCTACTTAATCTTCATTTGATTTTGAGACTTTTTGGGATTATTTTAGGGCTTTAAGGTCAATTTGGGAAAAAGTAGTGTGGTAGGTATTAATATGCAGCAAGATCAACTTCAGAACAGGGCGTCACTTTTAGGATGTGGTATAGAGTTACTTCCGTTTAAATATTTGGGTCTTCCATTGGGGGGTAATCCTAAGAATGAAGCTTTTGGGTCTCCTATGGTGGGGAAGATTGGCAAGAAATTGGAAGGGTGGAGTAAGGCTTTATTATCTCGTGGGGGTAGATATACTTTGGTTAGGTCAGTTTTGAGTGGTATCCCTATTTATTATTTATCTTTATTCAAGATTCCGATTAAGGTGGCAAAGTCTCTAGAAAAGTTGATGAGGGATTTTCTTTGGGAAGGGAAGGATGAGGGGAAAAATGATCACTTGGTGAATTGGGAGTTAGTGTAGTTACCTAAGGAGAAGGGGGGTTTGGCTATCGGTAATATTGTGGCTAGGAACATGGTTCTTCTTGGCAAGTGGTTATGGAGATTTCCCCTTGAGGCCGATTCATTATGGCATTCAGTTATAAGAAGCAAATATAGGACTTATGACAATGGTAGGGATTCACGGGTGGTTTTGAGGGGTAATTCTCGTGCTCCTTGGAAGTCTATTTCTCAAATTTTCACATGTTGGTCTTGTCATCTTTCTGTTTGGGTGGGCAATAGGGAATTTGTTCGATTTTGGGAGGATGTTTGGATGGGTCAGTCTTCTTTTGTTGCCGATTTCCTACATCTATATAGAGTCATAATTCTTCAATTGCGTCTATGGCTTGCTCACTTTTGGCTCAAATTTTTTGGAATTTTGATTTTTCTAGGAATCTTAATGATAGAGAGGCTTCTCAGTTGACTTCTTTATTGGCTAGAATTGATCATTTTTCTTTATCTCCTTTGTTGGAGGACAAGTGGGTTTGGACTCTTCATTCGTCCAGGATATTTTCTTGTAAGTCTTTTTTTGAGTACATCATTGATAATCCTCATGTTCCTCAGTTTCTTTTTTGCAAAAAAGTTTGGAAGGCTTGTGGTCCCCTAAAGGTAAAGGTGTTCATGTGGGCCTTGGTTCATGGAGGCATTTTGACAAATGATACATTGTAAAAAAGGAGACCCAACTGTTTTCTAAATCCTCAATGGTGTATTCTGTGTTGTAAAAATGGGGAATCCGCGAATCATTTATTCTTGCATTGTCCAATAG